GCGGTGACGCACTGCCAAGATGGCGACGGCCGGCTCCGCCTACTTTAGGCTTCAAAAACGCTCTTCAGGAACTTACGGGTGATGTCATGGACAGGTTATAGGGATAAATGCGAAGATTGATCACCCCTGAAGTGATCGCCCCCCCATATCTAATGATCCGTAGGTGCTAGAGAGCTGAAACTTGGTATATATACTATTTGGGGGACCCCCAGTCGTTTGCACATGGTTTGGTAGCTCTAGCTCAACCAGGTGTCGAGATATAGTACTTCAACTGTTTTTATACAGTCTATGCTCAAAACTATCCCAATCACGTTTCGAGGGGGGTCCCCCGTTAAAAATCGCATTCCGGTGAGGTAAAATACACGTTTTTGGTGGGGTTCCACTGGTAAAATTCGCATTTTAGGGGCTAAATATCACGTTATTGGGGTCGCTTAAACCCGCGGACATGAAAAACAACCTGCGGCAACAGTGTTAAAGTAGCCCAATTCCGCGGGAAAACCGCGGACTTGGCAACACTGTTTAATCAAGAAAGAAACCAAAAAAAAGTCTGGCGCCCTCACGTGGCTGTGAGAGGAAACGCAACCACTTCCTACCAATTAATTACAGTGAAGATAATGAATCATTGGAATTAAGCTAGGAGATGTGAGCTAGTTATCACATGCTCTATAGATACACGATTTCCAAATGCAATTATGTCCCTTGTTTTAGTCTTAAGAGTGTTAATTCCTTCAGAATTTTTCTATAGCTGCTGAGTAAACAAGTGAACTTTAGTAATCACACGTTTGTTTGTTGTCCAAAAAAAAAGGAAAAAGACCTGATACAATCACATTATAATTGTTTTTTATTATTAAATGGGTTGCACTTTATTTTACAGTATATGCAGTGCACTTATCAAAGAAAGTACTGGGTAATATAAGGTAACTACATTGGTTAAGGGGGTTAGTACCTCTTTATTTTACCAGTTATTATACTATAATAAGTACATAATATGCACATGCAGAACAGGACTGTAAAATAAAGGGCTACCATTACTGAAATTAGATTGTACATTAATTTAAAGTAATTTTTTTGGGCTGGGTATTAAACAATATTCACCTCTGAATTATACATATGCATTTTTATACAAAATTATTTAACATATTAATATATTCTTTCTATGAAGCACAGATATTCCATGCAGTCAACAAACACTGTCACTCAAGTACTTTGTAAGGTTAATCATTCCAGATCCTGAAGGACTCATCGGGAGAAATGTTTTATTGCAGAAATTGCAAGTTGGCAGGACTTAAACATAAAAATAACTTACGAACTGTCCACTTTATTAAAATAACAATAATCTCATTACAAAAGTTCAAAAAAACAAAACTGCAACAACAGCCGGTGTGGTGCCGAATCAGCTGTAAACCTTAGACTTTACATTCAATTCTATCTGTTATGGATAAATACAATTTTGAGATGAATGTGTCAGGCAGTTCAATATAGCAGTCAAAATAATAATAAAAATTAAAAAACAAACAAACAAAAACTGAGAAGTAAAAACAGATTTCCAGTCATTTCCTTTATGTGTGAGGTAGGTAAAGTGTTCAAGACCTCATTTTAACCAACTACTTTCACATCTGGTTATTGCTATTGGTATCTGTAGAAAAAATAATTCACTTCAAGGGTTAGTTCACCCAAAAATGAAATTAGCCCACAAATTACTCACCCTCAAGTCATCCTAGGTGTATATGACTTTCTTCTTTCAGACGAATCCAGTCGGAGTTATATTAAAAATTGTCTTTGATCTTTCAAGCTGTTTAATGGCACTCAGCGGGTGTTGCATGCATCAGTCCAAAAGAAGTTAAATAAAAAGCGCCCATCCATAAAAAAAAAAGTGTCTCACACGGCTCCGAGGATTTCGATATAAGCCAAGAGGAGACTGGTTTTCCTTTGCTAAAGTAAGGAAACTATGCTTCCTTTGCTCCTGTTAACAAACGTTGGTTTTCACGAGACTCACCGGCGCATGCGCAGCGCTGACCTCCATACATCATCCTCCCGGAGCTGCTTCCGTGTGTACAACAGTGAGCGCAACCTAGATTAAAGTGATTATTACGTTTTAAATATGGATATTTTTCTTACAAAAATGCATCGATTCGCTACAGGAGGCCTTTGTTCACCCCCCGGAGCCGTGTGAGAC